GTCCTGGGTTACCATCTAAATCCCTAAGCTTGGCATGTAGGATCCACAGACAGGGCTCTGGCATCTGGATTGGTCACAGTGACAGTTGAGTGAGTACTCAGTAGCCAAGCAGGGGAGATCTGGAAATTCGCAGCACCACCCCTGCCAACTGCTGTGTATTCTGGACCAAGTAGGTGCTCCGTAACAATCTGGTGAATGAATGGGTGGAGGAAGTGATAATCAGGTCCACATTTTGGGTACTGGTAAGTACCAGGCAGGTATCTGCTGTGAACTTTGCCCTAGGCTGCTAACCAGATAGGAAGAATCTGGGGAGATACCTCTAGTAGTTTTTTGTTGATTTCCCCTGCAGTTTTCTACACAAACAATTATATTATCTGCAAGTCGGAGCAGTTTTACTTCTTCCTTTCTGATCTTTAAGCCTTTTATTTCTTTCTCTTGCCCACTGTGATGGCTGGAACCTCTAGTGTATTGTTGAATAGCAGTGATAAAAGCAGACATCATTGCCTTGTTCCTGATCTTCGGGAGAAACAATTCAACCTTTCACAATTAAGTTTGATGTTAACTGTAGCTTTTTCTTGATGCTCTGCATTTCTGCAAAGTGATCATTGAATTTGGAGGTTTCATCAGATTTAGTAATATTTTCAGTGTGTGTGTGTGTGTGTGTGTGTGTGTGGACACCGTAAATGTGTAATTTTGTCAAGAGATATGTATTCTCTGGTTGTATCTTTTTGTGATATTAGCAGCCAGTTATGACTGTTGCATTAAATATTACAAATGGTAATATTCTAATTCTGTTAATTTCTTCTTTATTTATTAGCTGGGATAGTTCTATGGAGAAAATTTTTCTTCATAAACTATTTGGTTACTCTGCTGTATAGTTCCTACAAGAGCTATGGAGAAATTCATTTTGGGTTTTTACTTACCAGTTTTCAGAAGAATAAGTTGGTTCCATATCATATTATCCTCTAAAAGTAACTAAGGCTTTTTTTTTTTTTTTTTTATCCTCACCCGAGGATATGTTTTTCATTGATTCTAGAGAGAGAGGAAGGGAGAAGGAGAAAGAGAGAGGAAAAACATCAATATGTTGCCTCTTCTATGCTCCCTGACTGGGGATTGATCCCGCAATCTGGGTATGTGCCCTAACCAAGCATCCAACCCATGACCCTTCAGTGCACGGGATGATGCTCCAACCAACTGAGCCACCTGGCCAGGCCAACAAAAGCTTTTTAAAACATAAGTTATGAATTCACTATGTGTTTCAATCCATTCAGTTGTCATTTTTATTGATGCTAAATAAGTGTGTACTTTTCTAAGTTCTTTTAGAACTTGGTATTTATTTCACTTTTCTTCTAGGTTAGGTATTAGGTCTTCATTCTTAATCCATATTTCCTTCTGAGATCTGAGAACATAAATACACTCTTGCATGAGTTAGGACAAAAGGAGGATGTAATGAAAGGCTTATTTCTAATATCTTTGAATAAAGAATGGAACTGTTTTTCATTGAATTACACATCAGCTACATGGCATCATGTTTAAGAAGTCTTGGAATTTTGTGGGTAAAACCACAGAAGACAAATTTTTCTTTGATTGGAACCTGCAGGAGTACAAGCTTTTGGTGTCAAGGCTCTTATGTTGGAGGTGATATATGTCAGAGTAGTAGTCATAATTTTAAAAGTTCCTTGGTAAAGTCAATCACAGGGAAACCCTGCTTGCTATTCCTGTAGAACAACAGAGGAAAAAGTCTCTCTGACATATATTGTGTATTTTTGATGTAATGTTAACTTCATGTGGTTTAGCTGTTTGACTCGAGGTGTGTGTACATAACCTTCTGAACACTCATTTAGCTTATAATATGCCAATTTCCTAACAATTATTATTGTTCTAAAGTATAACATTTCACTGCTCAACATCAGATATGTACACAAAGGGAATTAAAATTTATGAAGTTTCATGAGCTTAGTATATATAGTAAATGTCAAAAATGGTTCCTATTTGCTTTATTGTCATTTTTTTCTGATTATAAAAATAATATTGCAAAAATTTAACCAAACAGGAATCACTATAATCATGCCTACAAAGTTATATATTAAATTGCATACCTAAGTCTTCTCGTAAGTGTAGATACTCACAAAGACATATTTAAATCTTGAAGGGTATTTACATTTCCACTTTACCAAAAAGTATAGGGGAATTATTTCAGGCAAAATATCAGATGGTTTTTTTAAAAACTTAGTAGTTTTTAAACAATTTGTACTTTTGGCAATGAGCCTATATTGTATGTGTGTATGTAATATACACATGTGTGTTTATATGTACATACATGTATAGAGGGGGGAAGAGGGTGAGAGAGAGAAATGAGAAGTCTATATACGAAAATACTTCTGAAATGAAAGGTACCAGCATGGTTTAATAATTCCAGCTTGTATCGTTAGCAAGATTTGTTGTTAGTGCCTAATGCTTGTCATAATACATACTAGCTGAACAGAGAACTGTGCATCATATATTTGTGTTGGTTAAGTTTCATGAATTTAATTAATGTTAAGGCATTAATTAAACGAGGTTATTTAATTTAATAATCTTCATCCACATTTCTTTGGGATTGCTAATCACCAGCCCTCTCCATTTACCAGTGTAGTGTGTGTGCATGCACATATCCGTGTGCAAATTAATGACATGAAAGAAAGTTACTGTGTTTTGGTTCGTTGGAGAAACTGAGTGGATCCTGGAAATGCTTATTTTTTTTTGCTGTGATTGGTTTTTTAAAAATATATTTTACTGATTTTTCACAGAGAGGAAGAGAGAGGGATAGAGAGTTAGAAACATTGATGATAGAGAAATATCGATCAACTGCCTCCTGCACACCCCCTACTGGGTATGTGCCCACAACCAAGGTACATGTCCTTACCGGAATCGAACCTGGGACCCCTCAGTCCACAGGCCAACGCTCCATCCAGTGAGCCAAACCGCTTAGGGCTACTGTGATTGTTTTTGATGATAGGGTTGAGTCATATTTTAGTCTCAGTAGATGCTTAGATCATTTGATACCCTTTCCCTGTTGTGTGAATTAATGGAGGACTTGATTTTCTAATGAACTAACAGAATACCTTTGGCAGGATTTTTTTTTTTTTTTTTGAGATGGGGACTTCTGTTCCATTGGGGAGAGGAATCATTTTGAATGGAAAAAGTTTTTAAGAAAAACCTTGTGTATCTACCCTTCTCACTTGAATAAAAGGACCCTGTAATTTTAATAGTGAAATTAATTTCATATATAAAACATTTGAAATATCATTTACTATATCTTAAGAAAGGCTTACCTCTCCAATGTCTGTCAGAGTAGCTTTTTTTACATTTTTTATTTCTAAGAAAAAAATCAGGCTCTTTCTTTAGCAATCTTTTATTTGAACTTAACAGCCTATAAATGAAATTTCCTTTGTCTCTACTTTTATAGGCAGTTTCTACTTTTAACAGGTAGACACTATAATCAGATTCTAGGCAGTGCCCATCACCACCATGCCTACCCTTTTTAAAGTACATCTGAGGGGTCAAATTCAACTCAGGGGGTTAAAACGCACTCTTTCTTTAGAACTACAGAGAGTATTCACCCTTGAAAGCTATATAAATTGCCATAAGAAGATGAGAAAGGTGCTGTTTTATTAAGCCCTCTTTACAGCTGTTGATGTGTAGTGAACATTTCAGTGAAAAGTAGGAAGGGGGATATTCAGATTGGTCCTGGCTGATTCATATTCCCCCAGGCTACCAGGTGTGTGGGGAACAAGAGGGAAATGGGAGACCAGGGCTAATGGAATGTAAACAGATAAAGAAATTATAGAGCAGAGTTTTTTTCTGTAGTTACCCAACCATGGAAATGTAACAGACCCCTAGGAGATTCCTAGGTAGAGAATCTAAATTCTTGTATTGTACAAATCGTTCCTATGAAAAAGATTTTGCTGTTTTTGTGTGTGTGTTTGTTTTCTTTTGAGATTAGACAGTCACGTGTTCCTCCAGTTTCTGCCAAATCTCATTACTAAAATGACTAGATTGCTCATAGAAATCATTTCATCCATCACTGAATTATTCTCCAGCACAGCTACTTCTTAAGAAGTGCATAAGGGTGTTTTAATACTCTTAACACAAGACAGATGCTTACTACTGCTTTTCCTCAACAGTTTTTGGTTTCCTTCACTTTCTAGGATGTGGAGAGCATCTTGTACGCACCATACTGGCTAGAGAATGTTCACACGCTTTACAGGCCGAGGATGCTCACCAAGCTCTGCTGGAGACTATGCAAAACAAGTTTATCAGTAAGTATAATATCAAGAAAACGTTCCTTCTAAATATAGTTTTCTTTACTATGCTATATGCTTCGTGAGTCAGGTACCACATTTTTATCCCTGGACCTAGGTCCAGGGCCTGGCATAGTCTTAGACCCTCAATTAATGTTGGTTGTGAAAAGAATTCCTTCACAGTAGCTACTACAGCATGAAATTTGTCACATAACCAATTTAATGCCCAAGCGGTGAGATATTGTTTGCATTTGAGTGTTATAGAATAGAATAAAATTCTACTAAAATAAAGTTCAAGGTACAACTTTCTTTAAAAGTTTTAAAATATAATTTGACTTTTTTAAAAAAAGTCAGCATTTTTATTTTTTTAACTAGAGGCCCAGTGCACAAAAATTTGTGCACTCAGGGGGGTGGTCCCTCAGCCCGGCCTGTGCCCTCTCACAATCTGGGACCCTTCGGGGGATGACCACCTGCTGGCTTAGGCCTGCGCCCTGGGGGATTGGGCCTAAGCTGGGAATCAGACATCCCTCTGGCAGCCTGGCAGCTCTCGGGGGATGTTCACTTGCCATTTTTTTATTCTGGGTTTATTTACCTTCTATAATTGAAACTTTGTTGCCGTCACTGGCGCTCCCAGCTCTGAGGCCACGGCCTGGCTGAAAGCAGGTATCTGGGGTTTGTTTAGCTTCTATAATTGAAACATTGTTGCTTTCGGGCTCAGGAGCAGGCCGCAGCAGGCGGGGAACCTTGGCTTCCTCCATCACTGGAGCAAGCAAGCCTCCTGCTCACTTCAGCTGCGTGGCTGCCAGCCGCCATCTTTGTTGGCAGTTAATTTGCATATCTTGCTGATTAGCCAATGGGAAGCGTAGTGGAGGTATGGTTAATTGCCCTTTTTGTCTTTTATTAGATAGGATATATATTTTTTTAAATAGTTGACATTATTGCAGATGTCTCCCGTTCTCCGCCCCCCCCCCTCCCATTTACTCCCTTCTGCCCAGCCCCCACTCCTCCGGCCCCTCTCCCCCCGCCACCCTTACCCCAGATCTTCACCACCCCATTGCTTGTGTTCATGGACTGTGCATATAAGTATATAAGTTTTTTGGTTTATCTCTTCTCATCCCCCCATCCCCACATTGAAATATGTCATTCTGTTTCATGCCTTCATGCTTTAGGTCTTATTTTGCTCATCAATTCATTTTGTTCATTAGATTCCACAAATAAGTGAGATCATGTGATATTCGTCTTTCTCAGATTGGCTTATTTAACTTAGCATAGTAATCTTCGAGGTCCATCCATAAATCCAGTATTTATGGGTTCAGTGCTGCCACATACAGTTGTATAGGGTTGAGTTGAAATCCTGCTTGGGGTCCATGTGGCAAGCCATATAAGGGTTAAAACTATTTGACTTAGTCCAGTTTTCCTTCATTTTATATTGAATTTATCACTATGCAAATATTTTTCAAGCACTATAAGAAATATGAAGCATTAAATATAGTAGGGTAATTAGCCGTGAACACATAAATTAGAGAAAGAGTATCACTGGATTAATGGGAAGGGTGGTGTATGTCTGCTTAGAGAATTAAGACCAAAGGGTGTACCAGGGTGTTAACTGTGTAGTGAAGGCAACACAGACAAGTAGGAATAAGTCACTCCAAAAGGACTAATGGATGATGGGCCCTTAGAGCTGGCTCCAGAAGGCTCTGGGATTAGTGGGGAAAGAGGGGGAAGAAAAGAACATGAACATAGACATGACAGTAGGATTAGACATGGTGAGGTCTAGACACCTGCATGAGTCTTACCTGAGGGAAGTATTCCCAATGTGTGGTTGGGCTGGACTGGCCAGGTAAGGCCAAGTCTCAGAGGCCTTAAAATCTCAATGTAGGCATTCATATTTAATGTGATAGGATATATGTTCTGAAGTTGACAAATAGGATGGTGTTTGGGGGGAGGGTTATAGAGTAGAGCTCTATAGATCAGTGGTCGGCAAACTCATTAGTCAACAGAGTCAAATATCAACAATATGACAATTGAAATTTCTTTTGAAAGCCAAATCTTTTAAACTTAAACTATATAGGTAGGTACATTGTTACTAACTTAATTAGGGTACTCCTAAGCTGGCCTTTGCTAAAAACGCCTCAGTCTGAGGGGTCGACTTCAGCGAACGTACTCTCACTTCTTCTAACGCCACTTCTTCAAAATAGACTCACCCAGGCTGAAAACTGACTTCTGCGCATGGGCCACGAAGTTTCAATTGCACTGTACGTGTGTGCCCGGACGTGGTATTTTGTGGAAGAGCCACACTCAAGGGGCCAAAGAGCCGCATGTGGCTCGCGAGCCGCGGTTTGCCAACCACTGCTATAGACCATCTCTACAGGAGAGAGATATTAGGGTCTGGGGATGGTTCAGGGATTGGAGAGGAAATGCTGATTTTGAGGGAGGCATCAGGAGAGAAAGAGGAAACGTTAACAGGCTTTGATTTTGACATTAGGAGGTAGTTAGCCCTCTGGATCTATTCAGGAGATAGAAATCATACATTAGGATAATCAGGGGAAGTTTGAGATGAAGAATTGTTAACTATAATGAAAGAGTAATTATAACATATAAGGAAACTGTGTGGTGCTCTAGAGTTGAGAGAGGGTCCAAGGAAGGACATACTTGGAAGGGGCTCAGACCTTGTTTGAGAAGGTGTGGTTTGGCCACCAGGTATCAGAGATGTTGACTAGTTTGGCCAGGGTGGGACTGGTCTGGAGGTGCTGGGTAAACAAGAGGCCACAGAGTGCAGCCGGGGATCAGGTAATGAGCTGTTGGTGGCTGGGTGTGCAGTGGACACAGAGGTCGACAGAGCACACAGGCCACAGGGTGCTTGCAGGGGGAATGCCTACTTGGTGTTTGACCCTCTGGGCCACAGGGGCTGCCTGTACATTGTGCGGGGCCTTCACTAACGAGTCCTGGGCTGCAGCCAGTGGGAACCTCTGGTGTCCCTGCTGAGAGGGCTGAGGACAGGTTATCATCAGGCTCAGGCTGCAAGGTCGCAGATGGACCGTGTATGGGTCCGTGGCTGGGGCAGACTTGACCAGATTTCTGACACCACACAGCCGCTCCTGAGCACAGGCTGGGAATTGCAGGAAGGGTGGTGCCTGTTTTAGCTCTGTTTGTTCTCTAAACAGATTAATGCGACTCCTTGCCTGCATGCTGCTAGTCCCCTAGTCTCTCTTTATATGGCACTTTATATTTGTCTGTTCCCTCTTCCATCTCCACTGGGTGATGACTGGATTCCAAGAGCTTCTTTGTCATTGTGGGAGGGACTATCTGATTCACAGTCATCCTCTTCCCACTGTTGGCTTCTGTTGGGATGGGATTTGCCCTCTACCTACCTGTGAGTTACTGGCCTCTGTCCCTGTGGAATTCAGTATGGCATTTTCGGCTTCCTCAGTCCTGACAGCAGATGCTGGGGGTAGTGGAGTCAGGTGGTCTGAAAACTTGGAATAATCAGTGGAATTGCCAGTCCTCATGTATAGCAGGCTACTTTTTCTACTTTACTCTTGCTGGCCTGGGAGTGGCATGGGAATGGGCATGGGCCGTGAGTTTGACATGCTTGAGCCAGATTTGGTTCCCTGCTAAGGATTCTCTGAACTCTACTCCTTTCTCTTCTGTTGGTTTGTTGCACTCTCCTTTTAAAAACTCTTCTCTTTAAAACTATTCTCTTCTTTAAAACTATTCAGTTTGACTGCAGTATTTCATTTTGCCACTGGATCCCATGACATAGTGCCCATTGAATCCTAAGAATTCCAGATTCAAACTTTTAAAATATACCCAAAATAATGTATTTAAAAAATGGTTTCCAGTTTTATTCTCTCTTTTTCTGATGAGTGAGGTCAAGCATCTTTTCATCTATAACTTGGCATTTTGTATGATCTGTGAATTATCTGCTCATAGCTTTTGACAGTTTATATATTGTACTGTTTAGGTGATATGCTTTTAATTGACAATTAATGGTAAAATTACCTTAAATCTAAGATTCTTAAAGGTCATAGCAGAATTTTAAAATAACCCTGTCTTTTTCTGAGTGGTGGTATGTTTGATATCTGTGACCCTCTGCACGAATAAGGGATTTTTTAAAAAAAAGTAATTTTACACTTATGATAAAATAATGTTGGTATGTATTTCTTCTAAAGTGCTCAGTGACTTATTAAAATAAAGATTTTTCATTTTTTTGCAATTTGAAACAAACTGCAATGATCATAAATGTAGGTTTCTTTAAAAAATCTATTTTTGATAAATGAGACTTTAATGTGATAGAATGAATAGGGTACAATTGAAAGATACTTTGAAGATTGAACTCTTTTTGTTTCTACTTGCATTACCATTATGCCAAGATCCAGAGCTTTGGTTTGACTTAATATAGGAAGCATAAAAGAGAGTAACCAATTCATGCATCTTTTAAAAACCACTGTTTGTGTAACATACAAAACCCATAAAAATGGGTACTGTAAAAATAGTGCCTTAATAATACTTCATGCTAGCCAGCTGATTATAGACTGAGTGCTTAGTTAGGTAGGGAAAATAAATAGATGTCCTTTTTAGTTGTGTTTTTTAAGTGATTATACACACACACACACACACACACACACACACACCCTTACAATGATTCAGATGTGACTTTTCCGATTCATGGTTATTTTTGAACGAACTTGGTTTCATGAGTTACTTCTTTATCATGCAAACTGTGGCTGCACATGTGGTATATGAACTTCAGGGTGGCATTATAGTTTCCTGCCAAGATCTCAACAAGTAATGTCACAGAACATTTTTTAGTTGCTTCTGCTCACTAATAAATATACTGGCTGATCAAATGATATCTACAAATCTCAAATGTCTTTCTTCTTCTTTTTGAATTTCTAAGCTAAGTTATTAGTATTATAAACCTACAGTCTGTGTAACCATTGTTGAAAAATTCTATGTGGAATAAGTATATTATGATTTTTAAAAAGTGTTTTTGCACTGCGTTCTTTTATTCCTTT